ATAACCGGTTAAATAATACAGAAAAAAATGTAATTCTCCTGCTCGGTTTCCAAGATTTACACGTTTCTTGCGATAGCCGCCGGCTATCGGGGAAGTAGACGAAACCGAGATATGTATACAAAAACGATACAGAAGCGGTGCGGCCAGAGATGAACAGACAATATAACCTATCTTTATTTTGTGTTTGGTTTCCGGTGGTGGTGTTGCACAGGAAGCGTAAGGACCGCCGTTTCAACCAGGACATGGTTTAGGAATTATCAAAACGATCGTAAGAACCCGTTTAACCACCGGAAGATACTCGGCAAGTCGCGTTTGATGGATAACGTTTAAATATTTACAATAGAGTATTTTTATTTTACTTCTTCACGGACTAAATTAAATTAGATTAAAACGAGCAGGTCGAATGAAATACTTCAGAATGTGCTATAAATGGTGTGATACAGCAAAGACGAAATTTGAAGTAGGAAAAGAAAAACTAAGATCGGACAGCAACCTCGTATCCATAAAAATTGCGTCTAAACACAATTGAGGAATTATATCTGCTACTACTTCGAATGCGCGTGTATTATAATACTGACGATGATTCATCGGGGCACTCGCAGCTGCAGCCAAAAAAACGCAACGAGTCTTGAACGGGAAAAGATAGTTGCCCGGGGACTTTTCGACTCTGCGTCGACGGAATACGAACACATTCTGTGTTTCGATTTTGTTTGATTGTTTCACAGAATAACGAGACACGGAAACGTCTCTCTGAATAAGTTGCTAATAGGAGAGAAAAAAAATGGAAGAAAGCAGAACTCGAATATATCCGGTCTTTAGATTACGCTAACTAGTCAGTTTTTCTTTTCTCGATCATTATCAATTCGTTCGAGGAAACGAAACGTAGTTGTCTTTTCCCATTTCGAAATATGAACGATTAATCGGCGGACTGATACAAAATCAGACCGTTGAATGCGGTCGGCAACGATTGCAGTTCTTTGAATTGGCCATTAGTAATGCTTAGGTGTCCCCCGCGGATTGCGGTTACGATAAAATACCTCTCGCTGTAGAGAAAAAAAGAGAGAATAAAATGGTATATCGTGAAATAAAATGAAGATCATGATACCACTGACGTGTTTACACTCCGATGTCGAGACATCTTGGTTGTACTATAAATAAACGACTGCATTGGCGTAGTCAATGAGACGCTCTTTTTACAATGTATTTTATTGCAAAAATATACGGAGGAAGAACACCGATCCGTTTTCCGGAAATTTATGAACTTGTCAACAACGTCTGTTTAAAGAAAATGGGAATTTTATGGATGTAGGGGAACATTAAATATGTTCGACTGACTGAAATTACTAAGTCAAGAAGCTTGTACTTGGTTCTCGTTTCGGTTATTATGTAACTCGGGGTAAATCGGGTTATATCTGACCCATTTCCATGATTTTTTAATATGTTGTAAAACACAATGTTCTAAGCAATTGTTTTCTATATATATACCGCTTATCTACCTAACCTATATATAAGGGTGTTCTAAAAATGTCACACGATCAGGAAATGGGGTGTTTTTGGGGTCATTTGAAGTAACATTTTCCTTAGCAAAAATGCAATCCGCGGCTTTGTTTACGAGTTATTAGCATAAAACAGTGACCAACGCGAGACGAGATCAGTTGCCGTGAGACGGCCGAGCCAATGAGCGGAACTAAGCTTCGTGCGCTCGTTGGCTGGGTCGCCTCGCACCAGTCGAACTCGCCTTTTATTGGTCAGTGTTTTTCGTTAATAACTCGTAAACAAAGCCGCGGATTGCATTTTTGCTAAGGAAAAAGTTACTTCGAATGACCTTATGAACCCCCCATTTCCGGATTACGAGACATTTTTGGGACATCCTGTATATACTAACGAGCGAACTTCTCAAGAAGTCTTCTCTGTGAAGTATAGAGAGCTTAGGGTTTCCGATATATTCAATTTTAAATTATCGAATGACAAAAAAAAATTGTTTAGAACGTTCGGTTTTACAACATATTAATAAATCGATATCGAAATCGATGAAATATATCCTTATCTGCATAATTATTTTTACTATTATCGCAGACAGTTATTCTTTTACATAAAATTTATAACAAAGGAGAAATTAAGGGTTGTGTCAGAATTACACGTGTCAGTGGTCAAGGGCAGATATTATTTGCTATTGCAAAACTTACGACAAGTCTNTTGCATTTTTGCTAAGGAAAAAGTTACTTCGAATGACCTTATGAACCCCCCATTTCCGGATTACGAGACATTTTTGGGACATCCTGTATATACTAACGAGCGAACTTCTCAAGAAGTCTTCTCTGTGAAGTATAGAGAGCTTAGGGTTTCCGATATATTCAATTTTAAATTATCGAATGACAAAAAAAAATTGTTTAGAACGTTCGGTTTTACAACATATTAATAAATCGATATCGAAATCGATGAAATATATCCTTATCTGCATAATTATTTTTACTATTATCGCAGACAGTTATTCTTTTACATAAAATTTATAACAAAGGAGAAATTAAGGGTTGTGTCAGAATTACACGTGTCAGTGGTCAAGGGCAGATATTATTTGCTATTGCAAAACTTACGACAAGTCTCGTATTGTGATGATGATATCATTACACATTTTGGCACACGATAAAACATCGACATATCTCTTTTTCCTTTGTTTTTCATTCCGTGATACCGTATTTCATCAATGAAACGAGCGAGAAATAAGGAAACTTACGACATATCGTACATATGCATGCACAAGATATAATAACAGAAACAATGAGAAAACAGACAGTCATTTCTTCTAACTACTTCGCTCTTTCACTAACGAATCATTTTGTCAACGAATTCGTCATCGATCAGTAAACAAATGTTTATTTCGATCAGAAACCTATCGAATTCATTGAAGTCAGTTTGCCCAAATGATCGCACTCATTACAAGCGATAAATCCGATTTAATTCCGTGCAGTCGAGTACGATATGTTTGGTGACCGTGAAAGGGTTATCGCGCGCCACAAGCGCAGACTTCTTGTCGCTGTTCTGTTTCAGGGGGTAACTCTGATTTTTAACCTTCAAAACATCAATTTGTTTTGTTGCATTTTCTTAAAATATATAAACATTCTAAAACATGTGCGAAACGATTTGTTTCAATTCGTAACAATAACAAAATTATAAATGTTTATACTTTCATACTAATAATCTGACAAGACCAACTTTAAACGAAACCTCATTTTTCACGATGCCTCAAGTTCTAGTTAATCAAAGGACTTCAAATTCAATTTGAACATGTTTAATTTAAACAATTTCGGATTTTCAACATGTGCCCTATTATCGCATAAATCTTTTCAACATGTTAAAAGCGAAAAAGTATTGAAAAAATCGATAATTTCTATTGCAAATGTTGCGATAGATTTTTAACATCTTTTAAAGATTAATGTGTTAGTTTTATTCAGAGCATAAGCACAGAAAGAAAATTCCCTGTTTTTTTCTTTTGGGTTAGCAGAAATCCAAAAATTATGTTAACGATTAACACACACACATTCAACAAAACAGTATATAACTCACATAATTTTGATTGTGTACGCTTCAAAAAGATTGATTGCATAATTTAAATACCTAATAGGAACGTGCCGAAACCAAATGCAAAAGATTTTCTTAAAAAAGAAAATTCCTGGAAGATGGAAAATGGTATCCGAAGCTGATAAAATTGACAAAATCGGGTCTCATGTCGCATATGCATCGCTCAGAGTGTCGGCACCGGAGCTGGTTTTCCGGTGTATGTATGTATTCGCGTTTCGCACCTCTTGTTCTGGATCACGGAGACCGCCGCCAATGGAATGTATCCGCAATTATTGCGTCAGCAGTCGCGGAGCACGTCGCCGGTGATTGGCCAGCTCCGAAGAGCGGGAAATCCCCGTTGAAACCTGCTCTTCCGCGCTGACCGTCCCCGGTTCTCCCGTTGACGTCTTCTGCGTCACGGCGAACTGCTCAACTCCGAGCTTTGTCGGAGACATTCCGACGGCCGGCCGATCAGTATCGTGCTACACGACACCGCGGCGACGTCGCCGCATTCGGAGAGAATCGCGTCTAACTGCCGCCGAATCCGACCGAAACAGTGATGCGATCTCGTTACCACACTTTGTGACACAGACCACGTGAAACAACTGCGCTCGAACGACCCGTGTTGTTTGTACCGCCCGCACGCCTACAGTGAATACCCCGGAGATGGATCCCTTCGATACTTACCATAGAACCGACCTGTCCGAGGTGAGTCGAAATGTTCGGACTAGTGCGAACTCCGGATTCATTGAACACACGGAGAACCACGGACTATTTGAAATTCAAATCATTCGAACGGTTCGAATTTCAAATAAGATGTAATACGTTGTTCAGTGTGCGGTGCCCGCACTCGAACCGTAGTTGACGGACCAAGGTTTCGTCAACGATCGTCCACATTCGACCGAATGTGGTACTCTCTAATGATAGTATTATTTGTACGTCTGGTGAGATTTTTCAACGTCTACAGTATCAAAAGCATTCTATCTAGAGTGCTTGTGCGAATTAATTACCAGTGGGCGCTTTATCAAGATGTATTTCTCAAATCAATTATCTTTCAGACAGTCGTTCAGACAGTTTCGCATAGATTGCGAATGCTTTATAAACAATGTATATCATATATTTACCGAGTTTAAGGGAGCAACGAATGTTTCTTGTAACTCGACGGGGATTATCTATCACGAGTATCTATCTAGCTTGCAAATGTACACTTTGATCGAAGAGAGTGTTATGTCTTTCCTGTTTATTTACTTGGTCAGCTTAATGTTTTACTTGGCAAACATTACACAGCTTGTACAATAGTTTGCTTTAGTGAGTTACACGTGCTGTCAACGAGTTTTCTTTTTTCATTTGATATCGCGTCACGTGCGTCGTTAGTGCGCTCGCGCTAGCTTCCCAAGAAATCAGCCGTGCCTTGGAAGAATTAAATGATAGAGCGTAACCCGTTCGAATGCAGCTTTCTGGGCAGCTCTCCAAAAAGCTAGAACTTTTGATGTTGCTGAAACAATGTCGTACGGACACGCGTGTTCAGGTTTTAGATAAACGCCTGTAAAGTATCGTACTTGAAAATGTGCATATGCGCATTGCACTCGTCGGAATCGACGATTTACATTTTTATTTCGTAATGTTGCTGTTACGTCAAAACGGTAAACTCACTATTTAAAAGTGTGCGCTCGAAGTTGAAACATTGAAATACTTTCCGCGACGAAAATAATAAATACGAAAGTAACAGTCGGTAATTGTTTGCGATACTAGGACGTGTACACGCGATTTCATGCAAATTGACTAGAGGCTCGAGGAAACAGAGATAACGGATAGAGGAGCAATGCGCGGTTATTTATTACGAATTGACGATACCTGTTTCGTTGCAGAAACTCTGCTTCTAACCACGACGTAAATACCACTATGTTTTGCGCATTCGAGTGCTGCAGCTTGACTTCGTTTCAGATTTGTTTGTCATATGATACGTTCCGGTTGCAGGTGTATCCGTCGTTCGGCAGCCTCAATGATGATGACGATCATCTTTTGCTGGACATGGACTCTATGGTAACCAGAAAAAGCAACCAGAAGAAGTGCGATTTTGGTAATGTTTGAAATATGCTTCCAACACTTTGTCGACTGCATATCGTTTTATTGAGTTTCTTGGATGCTTACTCGATTTAAATGTAACGAGTTCAGCTCTTCGGGCATATACTAATTCGAGTTCAGAATTCAACCTCAGATATTAGAGTTTCAGTGTATATTTTATTTTATATTATATTATATATGACATGCACATGACAGTGACCTTCGAAATGTTAAGTACTTTTTAATTTTGCTTGTTCCCTTGTCTATGCGACCAAATTTTCTCATAAATGTTTCGATTTTGTCACGATTATTATTTTAGTTTTGCAATCTGAATGTTGAACAGGTGAGGAAACCAACGAGATCGACGGTACCGGATGGCCGGACAAACCTGTTAGGAACTGGTGTCAGGAGGAGACAATAAATTGGCTGATGTTTGCAGCGTCCACTATTGGTCAACCGTACAGTTCGATTCAGCACAGTCTCGCAGTGCCTGGCAACGAATTAATCACCTTCACGAGAAATGATTTTATCAATCACGATCCTATATATGGGAATCAGCTCTATAATCTACTTCACTCTCAACAACATATCTCGAATTTCCGTACGTAATCGCTACTATCCGAGGCGCTGGTAATCAATGTAGACGAATATTCAAATAATAAAACGTTCGGTCAATCGCAGTATCTTATTTCTTGCGCACCCTTTACAATCGTCGCTGGTACAATGGGTGAGACAAAAGGAAAATGAATGACTTTGATTACAGTGCCATCGTTCGATACCATTCATCCCCATTCCGAAGATGAATACACACGGACCAATTCCAACAATGCCTCAGGTAATGAATTTTTAATCTAAATTTCATGAGAAAGTTACTTCGGCAACATTAGCATATGTACTAAATTCCATATCTTTGTAGATGCGGAATCAGATAACAGTATTGAAGTGTCCACTAAGCGCCCGCCGGGTAGACCAAGGGTATTGAAACCAAAAAAAACTTGTAAGTATCAAAAAAATTTATCATTCTTCTTGTAAAATTTTAATTTTGTGTAAACGTGTTTTTAGCTACCAGTCAGGGAAAGCTTTGGGAATTTATTAGGGACTTGTTGCGCAATCGAGAAACGTGTCCTAGCTTAATTTGTTGGGAGGATTATTCGCAGGCGAAATTTCGGTTTGTCAAGAGCGACGAAGTTGCGAAACGGTGGGGCTCTCGCAAAGGAAATACAAAGATGACCTACGAGAAATTAAGCCGCGCCATGAGGTAATTAATAATAAATTAAAGGCTGCACTCTTCTGAAAACCGGTTACACCAGAATTAGCTGAAATTTTGCAAATACCTCCATTTTACATGAAAACAACGTTTGCGAAAAGAATTTTTGATAACCTTCAGTAAAAATGGAAAATTTTACGAAAAATGGTTTGCCGCTGTCATGTCACCCACTGCGTTATCGACAGTACTCTGTCGTTTGAATTAATTCGTGGAGACATATCTTAGAATTGGTGACATAATTGACCATTATTCGGAATAAAACACGTATATGACCCGTTACTTTTATGTTTTAGTTATAAAACACGAGCCTCGCTTGATATTATTATTATCATTATTTCGTAATTGGATTAGGTTTTAGGTCATCAAACATTGGTTTTATCAAAAATGAACCTGTTTTCAATATCAAAACTTTTCAAGATTGCAAGGAGTGATATTAAAACGATAAAAACAATCTTTGTAAAAATTTGGGCCTTTTTTATGTAAAATGATGATATTTGAAAAATGTCATCTGAATCGAGTACAACCGATTGTTAGAAGTACAGCCTGTTGGTATATGTGGCCACTGTTCGGTATATGTGTAGTGTTATAAATTTCATTTATACGTCAACTATTATTTCAGGTATTACTACAAAAGTAAAATCTTTCTTCCCGTACTCGGTCGAAGATTGGTCTATCAATTCGGGCCCAACGCAAAAGGCTGGCAGACTGACAATCCGAACTTTCGGTACTGATGTATCACTAGGGTAATCGATTACTGAGCGCGAAGAAACAAGAATGCAAACTTGTGATTTGTAAATACTTCTTCCAGTCAGGATAAAATTTTTCAAAGCATTTTAACGTTGGAGCGAAATATTTTTTGACGTTTTGATTAAGAACTTCAAAAGACTAAGAAGAAAAGATCTAGTATTATAGGTGATATATGTTGGCTGTAAATAATAAGAAAACAGTATGAATGAACAAAAATTTCGAGATTTTTCGTATTCGTGTGCGCATGTATTTCGTATGAACCAGTGAAATTGAATTTAGTCGTTTAAGATTTTTACAGTTTTATTTAATTTTAAGCTTAATAGATCGTTTACGTATGTAAAAGTATACATATAATCAAGAAAGGCAATAATTCTCGTGACTTACAATCAAATAAATTCCTATTCTTTTTTATATCACGAAGTTTTATTGTATACCTTAATTCTGGAAGCATTGAACATCTTTTAAATCGAGCCCTGACCAAATTGAGACGTCGGGTCAACTTTAAAAGGGACTATATTACGTCGTTTATTTTATCTCTAGAATCTCGAATGATTAAAGAGAAAAAATATCTGAATTTCTGCTTTCGTTTATTAGTATTACAGACTATGGAAGATGGACTATTAGTTTGAATACGTATCGTGTTAATTAACTCTAAGAAGTCGTTGAGAGTCAATAACTGGATACTTATTCTACAATAGCACATGCAAGAACGTTGGCAGAAATATTTTTAAAGTTTATTTCGGACGAATCGATTACCTGTTAAGAGGACCCTAAATAGTTTATTTGTTGTGGTCGGAAAGTCATAGAAGCAAGATAGTCATCAACAATGTCATAATCGATAAATTGTTCTGGACCCTAGGTTTTTTACTGTAAGTTATAAACTTGAGACATGTTCTCGACTTCGATCATAATCACAAGTCCTCGAAGATCTTTCGTATGTCTGCGACAGTTTACTCTACAGTGTAGGACATCACCTTGAAAGGAATTTTTTATTATTAGAAAAATGACACTAAAGAAACAATTTCGCTTTCTTTTTCATTCGCTGTAACTGACCTTCGGTGATGCTAATTGGTTCCTTCAATGAGAATACTGTTTGTTTCCAGTGAGTCGGAGGCGAGTAAGGTCCTGTACTGAAATGAATTGGATTGTCCAAGTCGAAAAAGATATCAAAAAAGCCAACAATTGCGGTCAACGATCCAGTCTTTTTCACTTTCAACTCGAACGATGTCGAGAAATTCATGTACTCCATCGTCACTTCGTACAAATCAAATTTCTGAATTTCAACGGTGTTCGTTATTAATTCGTCGACAGCGCAGACCTCTATGTTTGGTTCGCGGATCACTTCAGTTTTCATGCAGCTCATTTTAAAGCCATATACATTCGACCAATAGTCGATAAGTTCGACATATCTCTCTACAATACAAATGGTTCTATAAAGTTATTATTTTCTTATCAGAAGCACAATTAAATCGTAGTGTAATAAAAACGTTATTTAACGTACTAGTGTCTCCACTTCCCACGACACTAAGTGTACATCTATTAGGCAGGAGTAGCCCACCAGGTGCTAAATAATGATCCCTGGCATATATCACTGTGTCTAACATACATTCGAAAAATAGGAAATAGCCCATCCACTCGGACACGATAACATCTACTTTTTCATTTTCGAGGTTAATGTCCTCAAGACGACCTTTTTTTAAAGTGATAATATCACTTAAATTGTTTTCTCTATAATAGACAGATGAAATATCATGCTTCGAAAATATAAAAGCAGAGTAGAACAGTTCGAATATTTATTTAATATATGAAATATTTTGTGTACCTTACTATGTCTATGGCTTGATATATTATATCTGACTGATCAACGCTAATGACTTTACGGCACCCAGTTTTGGCTGCAAACATAGATAAAATGCCAGTCCCACAGCCAACATCTAGTATGACGGAATTACTAAATCTGTGTGTATTCGTTAACAATGCATCACGATAACTTTCTGTTCTTATTTTGTCCTATGGAAGGAATTATTTCTAGAATTATTAATGTTAGTGTTAAATACAAACACATATGGAGAAGTATACATACCGTTAACATCTTATGATGTATTGCAAAGTGACTATATGCATTGAAATAATTTTCATCGAGGCGGCAACTAAAATTACTATGAGACCTAATACTATTGCTACTATTGTTTTTATCAAAATCATCATCCATAATCAGTTTCTGTACTTGTTCTGTCATCTCATCGATTTGCTAAATAATAATATGATCAATAAAATTATTCTTATCTGTGCTTCCAAAAAGCAGACACACCCAATTTGGCTGAAATTTTGCAAATAGCTTCATTTTACATAAAAATGATCGCTGTTAGAAGTATTTTCCGCGACTCGAAGTTTAAGGCCTAAAATTTAGTAAAGAATGTTTCACCATTCTAGCAAACATTGCTTTCATGTAAAATAAAGCTATTTGCAAAATTTCAGTCAATTTGGATGTGACTGATTTTCTGAAGTTACGCCTTGCTCTTTTAATATTAAATATAATATATTGTATTGTAGCTGTATGCATACCTGTTTAGTCAAGTAACATGCCATTTCACGTTGCTCCAACTCTGCACGCAATACCTGTATTGTTCTCTGCAATTCAGCAAAATGAGCTTCTGACAATGTAACACAACCATTCTCTGAGTTTACTGTATATGCAATAGGTTTTGTTGTTTTCTCTTCCAAGTCGTCAATGTCTTTAAGAAAATAAACAATGAAACAATTTACAAGTTTGAGGAAAGTAAATCTTCAATGAACTATTGGACTTGAGGCGTACCAAACATCAACCAAGGATCATACTCAATAATAGGCATTAAATATTTGTCATTTTCCCATGTTTTAATATTCAATGCATTCAATTGATCAGGAGAAACATTCTTTTGCCTGATAAAATTAATCAGTTTGATATATGAATAAGTATCCAGAGAATGTCTGGTTACAAAATTTTTCAAATCAAATTTATGTGATTTCATGAGGTGTTCCAATGCCTCTGTGAAGTTACTTGTACCCTCATTACAAAAAAGACATGGTATGGTCTCAAAAATTTCATTGACTTCATCCCAGTCATCTCCACTGTCATCGTCACTGGTTCCATCCATAGCAGATTCCACATCAGTCTTTGTTGAAGCAGCTGAAAACCAAAAGGAATAGTACTAACACTATAATTATTACTAGAATGGTAAAATTGAAATAAAAAGTCAATAATTGAATCCTTTTAGTTCAACCTTGCTCAGAATTACATAATTTATTTTCAAATGCTACTAAGATGTTTTGTAGTTGGTATGAAAAGAATTTATACAGTACCAATTTAAACTAAAACTTTGTATACCTATATAAACAAAAAATTTTAAAGTAAAAGATGACTAATAAATATTCTTCGATATTTGTAGAATAGATTTACTGTAAACAACATTTGATTTTTATCAACACTTACATAAGTATCACCAGAAACAGGCAAATGTGCAGAAACAGACGTGTTGAAAATATTCGTACAGTCTAATACAGAATAAAGAAACTATAAAAATAATCTAAATATTTAATGTTTCCTTGTTGTTTAATCACTTTTTCACACCTTGTTCTTTACTCTTTTATCTCCTTGATTTGTTGTCCTGTGTTAAATATTTAATTTATTTTTTTTCTTTTTCCATTCTTTATTGGATTATACAAATATTTCCTATGTGTCTATTTCTGCACATTTATCTGTTTTTGTTGATATTTATATAAATGTTAACAGAAATCAAATTTCATTTACACTAAATCTATTCTATAAATATCCTCTTATAATTTTTTATCAATATGGATATATAG